AGGGTATAGGTACGGTAGGCAGGCAACGGCAGCAGCAGCGGCAGCGGCGCGCGCGCGTTCAACATCCGCGAATCAGCCAAACGGGTATTGGCCCATTACGGAACTTTCGTCGTTTCTGCTACTGCTGAGTTTGCCTTACTTCGGCTTCCCGATGTGTACGTGTGTGCAGTATATAGCTTATATTCCCTTCTTTCTCTCTACCTACAGCTACCTATACTACCTACCCACCTAACTCACCTACACACACACGCGAGTCTTCGGAGTCGTCGTCGTCGTCCTCCCGTGTACACTCTGCACACGTATGGGCCATGCATGCATGTATGTACGTATATATGCTGCTATATAGTAACGCTGCAACGACGCGTCTAGCCAGTATTTACCGAGGGCGAGGTGCACACTCACGTGTGCGTATACACTCTCGTATACCCATACCCACACACACACACACACACACACACACACACTCACACATAGACACGAGCTCTTCCTCTTTTTTTTCGCGTCCGCCTTATATACACTTTTTCAAGTTTTTATATACGCGTATAAATATTGTCCCTCTCTTTCTATCACATTTTCTCTCTCTTTCTCTTATCTCTTGCGAAGCTCGCGCGACTTCATATACGTATACACAAAACATGAATATGTATGAAAAACAACACCATATTTTCTCTCTCTTTCTTATTTATTCGCTCGCAAAACTATATAGCTATAGAGAGAAAGAGACGGAGAGACACCGCGAGAAAGATTCTGTCTATGTGCAGTACGTGTATATGCGTACTTCAAGGCCTTCTACTCCTCCTCCTCCTCCACCTTTTCCTCTTCCCATATACTCTTTTGATTGACAAAGTACCCCTGAGCCCGTCGTAGTCGTTGTCGTCGTCGTCAACGGGGCGTATCTCACACACACAGACACAAAAATGCTGCAAGTACACAGACAAGGCGCCTAACGCACCACTATGCGACTCTGTCGTCGACATATTCTCAACCAACGCACGAGTCTCTCTCTCTCTCTCCTTTTTTCATTCTTATACCCGGCACGTATACTGCATCTACCTACAAACAAACGATTCGTCTATATATACGCGTGAGAGATAGAGATGGGAGAAGGAGAGGCGAAAATTGAATATGTATAGGATAGAGAAACGCAGATGAAAGAGAAAGAGGAAGGTATATGGCAGCAGCTATATGCGAGAGATAGCTCGTGCTTTTCCACTGCACTCACACACCCACACATCCACACACACAGATAGATCGAGCTATATATACGCGCTGTTAATTAGCTTTTTAGCTTTGCGCGCTTTTGCGGCCCATATATAGCACGGTGTGCGCCTAGTGCACGAAGAGAGAGAGGAAGTTTGGACGGGCAGAAGGAGCAAGAGTAGCAGCAGCAGCAGCAGCTCCAGCCGATGGTGTCAGAAAAAAAAAAACCGAGAGCAGGATTCGCGCGCGCATCATATGTTCGGAGGGAAACGAGCGTGAGCGGACGGATATATGAAATAGAAAGGGAATAATGGATATCTTTACGCGTTCTTGTCTTTTTTACTGGGATTTTCCAGGGTTACACTCTGTCTGCCTCCCCGTGAAAAAGGTGAGTAAAGAGCGAGAAAGACAATCGATTGATCTCCCTCCCGCTCTTTTTCCTCTGCATATGTATAGCTATGTGTGCATATGCACACACAAGCATACAGGTATGTACAGGCAGCAGCAGCAGCAGCAGCAGCTGGAAGTAGGAAAAGTGTATGGGAGGTCGAGGTAGAACTTAACCGAGCTAACTGGCGAAATTTCGCCCAAACCTCGTCGTGCGCGCGCTCTGCTTACTTAACTCCATTCTCTTCTCTTCTCTTCTCTCTTTCTCTGCTGCTGCTGCTCGTGCTCGTGCTCTGCTAGCTGGGCGAGTCGAGCGAACGAGCGAACGGCAGAGGAGCTTGCAGCTGCCGTACACGGCTATGCACACCGTGTACACGATATACGAGTGTGTAAAGCACTCGACGTGCACCTATATCCTGTTCTTTCGTTTTCGCTCTCTCTCTCTCTCTCTCTCTCTCTCTCGACTCGCCAGGGCTTACTGCTGCTTTCTTATATACATATATACAAGAGATATAGCCGTACGTGTGTGCCGGCGTATTATATACACCCGCAAGTATCCAAGTATAAGGCAGTCGGGCAGCCGCGGGGAAACGAGGCCTTATTAGACGTACAAATGAATTATGGACCTGGAGCGCGAGTCGAGTGCAGTATACGGAAGAGTGTGTGTGTGTGCGAGGGCCGTACGCGTGTTTATATATGTAAGTTAAGCGGCTCGATGATAAGAGCTCCAGTTAGCGCGCGCTCACGGTTCAAGAGGGATATAGAGCTAGAGTAAGCGAAAAAAAAGTTAAAAGAAGCAAAAAAAAAGAAAGGAAAGTAAATGAATTATTTTGACACCGATGGAGATATCATCGGCTGTGGATTGCGAGCGCCTAGACCAAGTGAATGTTGCATATTTAACATTTTCTCCGCGTGTGGATATACGTTATCCTTGTTACGTGCAGCGGTCGGTGGTATAAGGTACACCACACGCACGCGTACCCACACACACACACAGACACATTGTTGGTGCTATTGTGTAAGCCGTATATAGCGCAATTTACATGTGCAGGAAGGCCAAGCGAGGCCAGGCCTGCTGCTGCTGGTAAGCCTGCATTGTATGTATAAGCGCGCGAGAAGGAGCTACGAAGAAGGGCAACGGAGTACAGAGTATAGCTCCTAGGACGGGTGAGAAGATTTAGTCACTGGTATACAGTATTAGCGCGCGTATAGCAGTCGCGGTGTATAGCCTGCAGGCTGCAAACAAGCGAGCGAGCGAGCGAGTAGTAAGCAACGTATACGCTGGCGAGTGGGCGAGCGATATGCATGCATGCAAGCTCGACGCGCCACTACTACTACTACTACTACTACTAGTACTGGTATAGCGAGAGAGAGAAGGAACGAGAGAGATTGTAAAATGCGATAGTTCTGGACTACGTTCCGTAACGCAGGCAGAACGCGGCGGTGTTATAGTATATACACACTATGGTACACACTGTACTGGGCCATAGAGCAACACACGAGCGCACACGCGATGAATCCTTGCGAGGCGCCGACTCTCTCTCTCTCTCTCTGCCTTGGATATTAGCTAACTCCGTTGCTACTGTGCTGTGTGCTTGTGTTGCACCGCTCGCCGCGCTCGCTGTGTGTATACCTAGTCGAAAGTTAGCGAATGATCGGTTAGTGTGAACGAATCGATCGCTCGGGGATGACTCTGCTTTGGTTCTCTGCTTCTGGTATATAAGAGCTCACGGCGGCGGCGGTGGCGGGGGAGGGTATAGCCTCGGTGCGAGGGGACAAAGACTATATGCCAGACAGGCCAGGGAGTTTGTTGCGATAATAGAGTTAGTATGCAAGCTCGCTCCACCCTCTCTCTCTCTCTCTCTTACTCTTGCATGTGCACTAGACAATGTGAAGCGCGTGTTCGAGAGTGTTAGCTCGCGAGAGAGAGAGAAAGAGAGAAAGAGCCAAAGGAGGAAGCGCGAGCGAACGAGCGAACGAGGCAGGTAGTAAAGTGGAAGAAGCTCCGAGGCAGCTCCGTGTGCATGTATACCTGTGCGCGCACGACTTTCGCTACATGTATACCAGCGCTTCTGCTGCTGCTGCTATAGCAGGGTATATAATGCGGGGGAGCCGCGCGCAGGATGCCGATTGGCATGCAAAGAAGAGAGGACGACTTTATAGTAGTACACATAGCCCGCCCGACTTGTGCCTAATCTATATAGATATATATTTGTACACATAGCAGGATGCATTATATGTACATATATATAGCAGGCCAACTCGCAGCCTTACACTCGCTCTTTCTCTACTCTACTCTGCAGCGAGCTGCATGATGATGGACTTCCTGAAGCTACAGGTTTTCTCACGAGTCGAGGGTATAACGCGACTGCCAGCTATCCTGTGCCTGCATTACCTATATACATACATACCTACGTCCGTCTGTATATGTATATTATTCCTGTATATATATACGTACGTGTATAAGTAGCATGTGTAAGCTAATGTCGAGCATATGCATGCCAAGGCAGCAGCAACTATATATAGGCAGCGGCGCACATGCACACACGCGCGCTTGCGCTGGCGTATAATATCTATTTAGATGCAGCGGCGGACGTAGCCGACTTTTTACCACCTCGGCTCGAGCTATATAACTACAACGCGAAGCAACGTGTGTGCGGCACGATATAAATACGTCGAGGGCTGAGCGCGCGCGAATTAAGCGCTCCTATCTATCTATCTATACTTGTGTGTATGCGCATCTTATTCTGCTCGCACGCGCTTTATATTAATACCGATCTGTGTGCACCTGCACGCGATCATCCTCATCTTATACGCACACATACACATATACTCACATGGTATAAATACGTAATACTCGTATTTACTCACGAGCGTTTCGGCGATATTTATAGTATGCACCGAGGGGATATTATTATGTCGGCTGTGGAACATTTTCGACGCGCTTAATATACTCTTCTTCGTGTCGTTCGCTCGTGTATGTATGTGTGTGTGTGTATGTGCGCGCATCGTGTGCTTTCGCGAGCTTGTACACTACCACGTATACGATTATATGATGTCGGTATATATACTTACGGCGACCGAATCAGGTATTATCGCGTGCATGTGTGTGCGCGCGTATAGGTGCGCGCTTTGTTGACGATCGCTCGAGCGTTCGCGAGGCAAAGGCTTTGATCCGACCAAGATACACACGTACAAGCACATATACTCACGTACATTATAAAGACTAATACACATGCCGTGTACGCATTCGTGCGTAAGCGCATTATCGTATACTTCGACTGGCCACGGGGCAAGATCGTAATTTGATCAACAGCGGGGCTTATAATTCTCGATCGCGCGTGAAACAATCCACGTATACTCGCACGTACAAACGCACACAAAGATATGGAGTGCAAGCTTAAATAACTTACGATCTATTTTTGGATTATATCCGCGGCGATCCTTGAACTCGGACGTTGAGCTCTCGTTGCTTTTTCGAGACCCTTAGTAGCCTTTCTCCTCTCCCTCTAATGAGATGAGCGCGTGGTGCAAACAGGAGAGCGCGGCGGCTCTACGGGCTTTTCACACAGCTGCTTCTTCTGCTGCTACTGATGCTGCTGCTGCTACTGCTGCTAATAGCAGAAGCCCCGACAGCGGCATCACCGAGCTTCCTTTTTTTTTCTTTCTTCTTTTCTTCTTGGCGCCGCTTCCTTATCGTCGATGTATACGTATATTCGTTTATACACCGCGATATATTGTTAAAACTCGGTAGCTGAGTGCAAAGCCTAGATCTTCAACCGGTCGCAGTAGATATATACATTTACGAAGCATACGTATACTCGATGATACGATGATAAAGACAAAAAAGAAAAACCAAGATGCAGTGGTGCGGTGTAGATGAATAGAAAAGACGAAGAGAAGAAAAGGGAAAGGAGAGTTGCACGATACTAGTAGTAGAATTAGTAGTAGTCAGCGTAGCGGTGGTAGTAGCAGTAACCCTTCGCGCTGTGGCAGCCTCTAGTCTGCGGCCGCTGAATACACACTTGAAATCTTCCAAACCAGCAAAGCTTCCCTTCTCTCTCTCTCTCTCTTTCTTTCTCTATACACCGCTTGCAACTCTCTTTCTTACCCACCTTATAAGGGTAAAGTCTCGAGGTATATACAGTGTATATACAAGGGGGGAAGAGAGTCCAGAAAACAACGAAGCGAGGGATGATGCAAAAAAAAACAATACCACCACCGCATACGCACACTGTGACGTCGTGCCGTGGCAGCAATAGCAAGCAACAGCAACAGCAGCCGCTTCTTTATGTCCCGCGTACGACAGCAGCAGCAACAGCAGGAGAGAGACGACGACGACGACGACCAAGAAGCTACAATAGGCCCTTCTCTCTCTCTTTTCTCTGTCTGATGTATATATACACTGTTGCTAGACCACTGCTCTGTGCTTCTCTCCACTGTCGGACTATATTAGTCGTCTACTACTTCTTTTTTCATTGCTCCGCACAATTGGCCGGTGGTGTGTCCGTAGGTGGCTTGCGTTAGGCAGCAGCGCTTCTTCTTCCTTATTTCTCTTTCTCCTTTTTTTCGAGAAAGGCTCGCTCGCTCTTTTCTTCCTTTTTTTTCTTCTTCTATTTTTTGTGCTACCTTGGCCCGAGCTTTAATAGCCGAGGTTATAGCAGCTCGCCACAGCGTGCAGCAGCGGCAACGATGGTAATTTTGAACGTCAATGTGATTTACGATATTTAATTAAAATCAACTCTCTAAGTCTCTCGCGCCGTTTCGGTGCGGTCTATCTCTATTTAACTATCCTATCTCCTATATATGTTGTTTCAAACTGCGCGCGTGCGAGAGTCCGTGATGATCGCACACACGTACTGCTGCTCCCGTATATATATGTACACACACTCGCGGCTTATAATATCGCGTCGAGCGCGCGTCGTCGTCGAGCTTTCGGTATATAGTCTCTCGTAGAGTAGCGTGTGCCGGCGCGCGCGCGCGACTCCGAGCTCTTCTCTCCGTGCCTCTGTCTGTCCGCTATACTCGTACTCGTATAAACTGTCGCGCGGCGCGAGCCAAGAGGGTGGCGGCTTCTCTCTTCGATGTCCTGACTCAAACTGCTGCTGCTGCTGCTTGCCTGTATGCCTGCCCGCTGTAGCCGCGAGCGCGCGCGCGCTGGGGAATTTTCCGCGCCTGCCTCTCTCTCTCGCGCGCGCAGCAGTAGCAGCAGCAGCACACAGCACACACAGCGCTCGGAATAGGCTGCTTTCGAAACTGTATACAGATATATAGGAGTAGAGCGAACGAGCACAGGTAGTAGAGGGTAGATGCTGTGTGTGCACCGCGTGGCTCGCTCTATACGTATATACCGAGAGCGCCAACAAGCGAGCGATATTTTCTCTCCTCGAGGTAACTTTGTGCGCAGGCTCTGCGTTTCGCAACGCGTTCGCTCTGTCTCTCCCACCCTATTCACCTTTCCAGCGATCCTTGCTCCCTCCTCTATTGCAACCCTCTGTCGCTGCTATAGATATATCGCCGCCGTCATACAGGCCTGCTATGCGCTCGCAGCGTTAAAGCACACATGCGGAGCAGCAGCCAGCCACCCACACACGTACACATGCAACACACAGCCTCACCTGTAATATACGGTCACTCAGTCTGGCCCCCCGACTCTGTGTGTGTGTGTTTACAGGGGGGATATGTATGGGGTAATAACCCTCACCCTAACTTTTTTTTCTCCCCATTTATAGCATTAGAGACAAATTTCCTCGCTTCGCCTTTTTTCTTCTCTATACTTTTTTTTCTTTCACTCTTTCTTTCTCTCTCTCTCTCGCTCGCTGTCTTCTTCTTATTTTTTTTTATATATCATCCTGGCACTGTCATTGCACGCGCTCGCGTCTTGCAGCTCTCGTTTTTTACGACCGATATAACTTGCTCTCTAAAGGGGCTAGGTGTTGCTTCTCTACTACTACTCCTCTCTTCTCTTTCATTCTTTCTCTCTCTCGCGCGCTCGTTCACCTTTTTTTTATTAGGTATTCAAACAGACGTTCCTCGAGCGCGACATATATATACGTATAGTTAGAGCTAGTTTAGCTTATATAGATAGAGGCGCCTCCGACGAGCGAGCGAGCGAGCGAGAGATGTAGTAAAGAAGAAGAAGAGCGAAAGTCGCGGCTCCCGCGCCAAGGATCAACAGATAGGTACGCGGCTCTCTCACTATGCGCGGATTGTAATTACGATCTTTGCTTTTCCCTTTCTCCTTTTATGCTAGCATGTTTGCGGCCGCGCGCGCGCAAGCAAGCAAGCAAGCAAGCGCAACTATATAAGTATAAAGCGCACCGGTTCAACTGGCAGCACGCGAAAACAGCCTCGCAATGATCTTTTCCGCGCAGTCGTCGAGACTCTCTCTTTCTCCGCGTATGTGTGCGCGCGCGTGCGTGTGCAAGAGTGGTATAAGGTTTCGTCAAAGTTTTATACTCCTATTAAAGCATCGATGTGTGCGTCGGTAAACTCAATCGAACTTTGAGCGCTCGAGAACCTGAGATACACACGTATGTATAGAACGCAAGTATGTGTGTGTGGGTTACGTTTCGTACATGTACGAATGTGTGTGCATGCGAGCTGCAGACGAAGGTATAAAAGTATATAGAGAGAATTGCACGAGCGCTAAAGGATATTACACCCTTTGTCTCTAATCTCTATAACGACGATGTAACAATTTTACAAAGGAACTTGAAATGACCAGATCGGGAAAATGAGCGAAGGAGCTTCGCACAGGAAGACGAAGAAGAAGCAGAAGTGAAACGAAGCCGAAATGGTATAGGTCAGCAGTTAACCCATACGTATATAGTTTGGGAAGAAGAGAGAGATAGAGGGCAAGAGAGCGAGAGAGAAGAGAAGAAAAGTAGAGAGAGCAAGCAAGCTGGTAGATTAGCTCGATTTCTTCGGGGGTGGTCGGGCAGCCGGACGGACGAGCAGCAGAGGCGCTACACTACTATATATCTATAGATAGATATACGTATACGTATAAGGTAAAAAGAGCACGGAGCAGAGCTCGAGGCAGTGCTGTGCGAGTGTGCGGTGGCGAAACGCGCGCGTGGCTGGCTATGGCAATAGCGAGGAGTCGGAGAGAGAGAGAGAGAGAGAACGCGCGCAGGACTTGAGCCGCGCGCATCCGCGAACATCGACCCGTTATAGTGTGTGCGGCGTCGGCGGCGTCGGCGTCGTTCTGCCACGAGAGAGCCAGAAAGAGGGAGGTCAGCAGCAGCTTCACCTTCCCTCCCTTTTGCCCTCCTCGCGCTCTCTCGCACACACAGTACGCGTAACATACAAGATACCGCAGGAATGCATGTATGTAGGTATCTGGCACTGCGCTCGTCTCGCACTGCACCTAGCGAGCGGGAACCTACACCGAGTGCGAGTGTATACGGGATATATGACCGATTCTCGATGAAATCGACATGCTTTAAGGAAAAAATAGTTCCTGGTGACGCGAAAACTTTGTTCTCGTGGTGGATACGTTCCCAAAATTTTATTAGAATTTTTGGCACCTTTCGGTCGACCCTTGTTCAGAAACCTGAAATTGACTATTACAACTTCTAGCTACAGCCCTGAGGGGATTTAAAAAAAAAAAGTGTTAGACTCATTTTTTTTTCTGGAAATTATTCAAATTTTTTGGAAAAAATAGGTAGGACACGCGCAGAACGTTACTCCAAAAGGGTTTTGAGCAAACTGTGAGCTAGCTACTTTAGAGAGAAACATAAAAGTCAAAGTCTAATCCAGTCTGATCTGCCCTTTCGCGTCGTCAAAAAATTCACCCGGAGTTTTCGTTTCTTTGTCCACTAATAACTCCTAAATTTTGTGCTAACAGGTCAATGAATCTTCAAAAGTTAAAGTAAATCCAAACGTATTAAAAATCGCGCGAAAAAGGTAAAAAAGGGTAACGCAAAAATAGCATAAAAGAGTATTAAAAAAAAGCAGTAGCGAAAAAAATGTTCGAACCATCGCGATTTCGCAGAGAGTCGTTCATATACCCGTAGACTGAGAGAGTTCGCTGCGCCGAGTCGAGTCGAGCGCGCTAGTACACCGAGTGGCTAACTCTCTGACCTCTGACCGCTCTCTCTCTCTCTCTCTCTCTCTTTCTCTCTCTTTCTCTCGCAAGCGCGCAAGCTCTCGCTCGATCGGTTAATACCCCTCTCTCTGACACTTCTTCTCTCTCGCACTCGCGCTCACCCTTGCGCCCACACACATACACACACACACACGCCTACCTACGTACACACGTACATCTGTTCCTGCCTGTTTTTTTTCTATTTTTCCGTTTGTTTTTCGTACTTTTATACGTGTTTGGTTTCGTTCGGGGGCAAAGCCGCAAACGATCTCCCCCGCTCCCTCCCTCTTTCCCATCGTTAATTAGGCTGAATTTTTACTTTTGCCCCCGACGTCTGACGTATAGATATGTCTGTATATATATATATATATATATAGCGAGAGAGAGAAAGGAGCGAAGAGTGCGCGGCAGCAACCTGCTCTCCTCTCGTATATTTGTACTGGCTACGCCAAGTTTTCCTTGGGCTACCTACCGGCGGCGGCGATGAAACTTTTTGCGACTCGCCTCAGCATTTGCCCCCCGCTTGCGTTTGCTCTTTCTCTCACTCTTTCTCTCTCGTCATTTCTCATTCGTAGAAACGTTTCCTGGTAATATCTGCCCTCTCTCGCTCTTTCTTTCTTTCTTTCTTTCTTTCTCTGTATTTTCCATGTATATAATACGTGTGCCCGGTACACACGTACGCCGTGGATTTTCCTCGGAGGATTCGAAATAAAGAATTGCGACGAGTCATTAATTATATAGCGTTTAAGCGCGCGTTATAACTCAAGCGTGGGAACTCGACCCCGCCGCTCGGCTCCTCGCTCGTACTCCTTTTTTTGCCGTTTATTAATCTCGTCTCTTTGATAAAGCCTATAATAAGCTCCACGACGACGACGAATGCTGTCACTTTTTTTTATCAATAACAACTAAGTATGTTCGCGCCCCTTGCTTCAATAAATTATGCTTATCATTAGCATTATTATTATTATTATACTCGCCGCACGGATCGTTCGAAGAAGAAATAGCGCTGTACCGAGTATAATATCGCGCGCAATATGGTAGAGAATGACACATACACGCCGGGATCTTTTACGAGTGCGGGTATATAGAATTTATCATATTTATATCAGCTCTGAACGTGTAAAATATAGGTAAACGCGGCGCCCATGCGAGGGGTAGAAATTTTTATTTTAAAACCACAATCCCTTCAGGCGTTCTGTGTACGCTGCAACTTCAGCTACTCCCGACTCTTGGT